ATAATAATTATAATTATAAGGCGACGCCACCAGGTAAGCTTCTTTTTTTAAATATACCTTCGAAAGTCTGATGTATTCGGAAGCCAATTATAGCACGCATTGCCTTCCTTGATCCTATTATTATAGTATCGAGTTCATATTTTCGATCCTACCGTAAAATTCTTTTTTATTTCTTCGGTCACATAGTGCGAAGTATGAGAAACAAGGGCCTACACGCTCTGAATCGCGTACCGGTCATGCCCGCCAAAAGGCACGAAACAGAACAGTGAATTTATATTTTTGTCCCTGAAGAGTACGAGGAACAGTACCCTTGTGGAAAGTATCTTAACGAATAAATGCGCCTTGAATGTGTATGTATGTATTTAATCGTATAAGCAGTAAATATAATAAAAATAAATTTTTCATTTTGTTCTCGTGCAAGTTTCCTTTTGGCGAGTATGCGCCGTATCCGATTAATTTCTTCTTTCTCTTTTGTTTTTCTTTCTTCTGTTCATCGTTACTGCATTTTCATTCGAATGTACACAATCACACATGGACGCACGCATACATATTTAAAACGTTTCTTTCACGCCCTCACAATTCTTTTCTCTTTTTCTCTCTTCTTCCTAGCCATATTCTCTCTTTTTTTTTTTCTTTTATAATCCTCTCGCGTATCTATTTATAGACACATACAACGCGTAAGATCAGCAGAACATTGTTTCTCCTTCATTCTTTTTTTTTTTTTTTAATCGTTTTCCTCTTTTTTTTTCTTTTGTTCTCGATCGTCGATCAAAGCAGTGTAGTAAGAGAGTACGGACAGGCGAACATCTGATAAATGGAGTGAACACGATAGTAAGGCTTAATTTAAATCTGTTAGTAAATTGTAATTCCGCGCGCGCTAACATTCTCTATGCACAGGCAAGCCTGTGTTTCCACGCAGGTATGCACTCGAACGGTCGGGGGAGGGTTGTTGTCGAGACTATCTCACTTCTCGAGCTTTAAACCTGTCCACATAGAACGTTTCTTTCTCTACTATTTTGTTTCTTATTCTCTATACTCGTGTTTCTTCTTCGAATGATGTCTTTCTATCGTTTCGGAATTGTTTTCTCTTGTTCTATCCCGCTGTCTCTCCTTGTTTTTGTAACAGTTATCTGTACTGTCGTCCCGACAAGTGTAACATGATCATTCCCCGTATGTTCGTTCCATTATCCTGCATCACTCTCGTTCATCCGCCGCTTGTTATTTGTTCCTTCACTTTCTTTGCCTAACGTCAGAGTCCTTGTTGGGCGTTGGCTTGCTGTGGAACGAGACGAAACGATTATTAAACTGGATCGATATTGTTCGGAGGTAACTGGTCACGAAAATGAGTCACGTACAATCAAACGAGACATGGATATCTAGACACTAATCGATAATGTGGTAACACGTTACTTTATACAAGGTGTCTCAAAAACAGATGACACTATAGGAAAATCGACAAATTGAACTTGGCTTGTTTTAAATATGAGAACTTAACCATACGTTTCTTACTTTTTACATAAAGACTTTAGTTTCGTGTTTCTTTACTTTCACTTTTCTGAATAAGCCAGTAAAGCTGAAAGTGATGGCATGACTTCAGTGGAAAAGAGTTAAAGTAATAGCGGGACAGATTCAATCGCGCCGGTGCGGACGAACGACGTGGTTTTTTGGGAGAGGAGTTCAACTTGATCGTTCTGTGACCTGAGGCTTCCGGTGATGTGTCAAGGGAATCAATAGGAAGTTCAGAGGGTGGGAGGGGCCCGCGCAACGGTATACAGTCATCTCTTGTACTTGCACCCGGCTCTTCTCTGTATTCACCAACAAATAAATTTCAAATAGACTTTCAAATTTGAAAAACTAGGCAACACGTTACTTGGTTTTCCCAGTATTAATTTTTAACATTGAGTTAAAAAAGATAAATTTCTTTAATTCAATTCTCTCCTAATGAGAGAAAAAAACGAAAGAAAGAAAATTAAGAGAAAGACTAGAGTCAGAAATTAATCGAACTGTTCAATTATGTGAAACTACATAAAAATGGTAGCGTGAAGAGATTAAAAATTGGGAAATGTACATACGTGTCAGGGCTCTGATCAGTATCAGATTCCTCGAGTTCAGCCTTGTTTCGTTTCTTTTCATAGACTAGGATGATGGCGCACAGAACAACGACTTCTGCGCAAATGCCTAAGAAGGGCCAGAGTGCGGCAAGCTTGTCTTTGACCCTGAGGAATGTTTGGGCCTTTGCCACGTGACTTTCAACGGTATCAGACCAGTTATAGGATACCCTGCAGACAACGTTGCCACGATCGTTCATCTCGATGTTGTCGACCATTAGGATAGCTCCGTAAATGTTTCTTTCATGGTCCCATCCGAGCTTAACGCGACCAGTACTGCGAGTATAATTCTGGTCCCCGAATGTCCATGATACTTTGATACCAGGACTCTGTTTACCGGCACATGTTAAATGCAGCTTCTCTCCCTCGACCACGCTTGTTGAGTCAGGAAGGTGTGCAGTCGGTTTTTCTGCGAATAAACAAGATTCGTAAATTAAGCAATAAAAAGGATTAAATATGGTGAAAAATATAATAGAACTCTAGAAATTGAAACAAAAACAAAAAAAAAAAAAAATTCAAATCATTTCCTTAGTAGAGATTAAAATTAGATATACTTCTAAATGACACTGCCATTTAAAAATGAAGTTTAAGAATGAGGAAAGTTGGAATGAATATATAATTTTAGTTTTAGGTATTTATTAATTTCCGAGGTACTGATAAAAAAACTTTTAATACTACACGTGGGACGGACATCTTATAAATATGGAGACCAATATCAGCAATTTGAGAGGTGATAATAACTACTAAAACGAAGACAATTGTATTAGTAACGTCTGTATAGGCAAAACTCAATGTACAATATTGAAAGTATTTTTATTAACATCTCGGAGACGAATAAATACTCCAAACTGAAATTTTATACTATTTGAAATTCTCTCCTCAAATTTCAGTCCAATCGACAACCGGTGCCATTTCTTGAAGTACAGTCTTGAAATTTCTGTGAAACATTATTTTACAGAGATAACACAATTAATATTTTTAAATATCAAATGAAAAAAATAAAATAAAAGTAATAAATAACTTAAACAAATTACAACTTATCACTAAAGTAAAGGAAAAGATGAGAGAATTTCGCCGTAAATGAAATTGAAATTTTTAAAATTTTTAAAAAGGATTTTAGAGGAACACTTACGTACGATCCTATACTCAGTGGAAGAATTGGTTCCTTTACAAGTATAATTCCCATACAAGACTTCCGAGCTCTTTAAAAGTTCCAGGATGCCTGTTTCATTATCTATCTTGATTAAATCCTCGTTACCAGCCAATGCTGTATGAATGGGGATATTTTCCTTGAACCACTGTAACTTCTCTCCTGCGCTTTTATTCGCGCATTCTAACATCATTGGAACATCCTTGGGTGTAAGTACTCTGATCTTGATATCTGTCTCAAAGAAAAATCAAATTATTTACTTTATTACCAAAAGTTATCTATTCGTCTTCCTGTAAGATGCTGTTAAATAACAAAAACGCTGATTGCACAGTACAAATCAACGTCATCATTTCATAAATTTCAGTTTCAGCACGTATATGCGAATTATGTAACATATTTTTACGTTTCTTATCTTTAATACCGTTTCTTATCAGAGCACTTTACTGCTTGTATGTATCTTTCTAAACAAATTTTAACAAAGACACGTGAGAAGCGATTTATATACTACTTCTAAGTTACTTCTGCTTGAATTTGTTTATAATTGTACAAAACATTTACAAAATATAGCTGCTTGATATCAATGCGAAAGCACAAAAATCTCCAATCGAATATTTCATAAATTAACTAACAAATGAAAACCAAAAATAGTACTCCATGCAAGGTTTCTGAAAGATTTCCTTCGCACGGTAAAAATTCCTCAACGCAGTAACTAGCAAAACAATTCCACGGAGTGGAATCTAATTGCTTCCTTCAGTTTTCTAACGAGTTTCATATAGCCTTCTGGAAATCTTCAGACGCTATGAAATTTAAAAACCGCACGGATATTATCATATTAAGAAATGATTTGAAATACAAGAGCCATTAAGTACAATCAGCTGCAAAAATAAAACTGTATACTAAAAGCTTCTCTCCTTGCAAGAAATTTACAAATAAACAAGCAGCAGTGATACAAACATATGGGGAAACACTGCAACAAATACATCACAGCACTCATTTCTTTAAAGATATATAGCACATAGAGTAATTTGAACCATGGAAATTTGTATACTTATGTACTTATGTACATTTTAAAACCAATCTGAGGATGTATGTAAAAATTACAAGATAGTTACTGCAGATAGATATATTTAGAAAAAATTGAGGTATTAATATAATGAACAATTGTTTAGATACCGTTGTAATTTTTATAAAATATAGAACTATAAATATCTTGTAATTCCTATGTATACATTGTCAGATTTAAAAGAATTGTAAAAAAATGCATTCTGATTAGTGACAGCAATATTTATCAGTAGCTGTATTGTCTGAGCCATTGTTTCATTTCGCATAGTAATAGACAATAATAGGCAATAATAAGCCTAGGACGTATATTTATTAATCGCAATTAATTATCATTTACATTTGCATCGCTATCTAGTTATAAACTCATGCGCCATCAGAAGAGAACATATGGGATAGCATAGAGCTCCATGCTAATTGTACCATGAGTATTTCCAGCATTAGATAACGAAAATAACTTTATAATTAATTACAATCACATGAATACACAATTGAAAGCTCAAGCAAATATTGTCAGTGTAATAATACTAGTTCGCGTGGATTAATATGAATGATGGATCCGTCGATGACAAACAGAGATATAGTCGTTAGTAATATGCTTTTTCATCGATTCGAGCAGTTTACAGGTATCGCAATTTCAATAAATTGGAATCTAGAGCAATGATGAGACCTGAAACTCGAACAAGTATTTGCCTACTCTGCAAGATTGTTTTGAAATACTGAGACTTAAAAGGGAAAAAGCTGCACTTTTCTCTGAAATTACGCTCCCGTTATTATAGTCTGTTCAATAATACTTGACCGTTAAAAATTATTCTCTAGTATATAATTAAATTAAATCAGTACATCATAATATATGTGCAATATAAATTTTATATATTTATTTATAAATAAATTTATAGTTTTATATGTTTATGTATGTATGTAAATGTATATTAATTCAGCGTAATTATGTTTATATATAAATGTATATTAATTCAGTGTAAATTAATGTAATATAATATCACAATACAGTCTTGGAGAAACTTTCAACTGATTTCAAACAGACTATAATCTTTCGTACACATTATCAACTGAAACTCGATATTTCAGAACATTCAGAGTCTACCGTGCAACAAGAATTATACGAACATCTATTATGTTATATTTTATGCGCAGACAATATGCAAATATGTAATTGTTGTGCAAGATATGTTTACAGGCAGGTAGCAAGTACGCAAAATGCAATCAGGGTAAATTAATATGTAAATATTTAAAAATACAACACTGCCTGATAAGCATTTACAGATCATATGCGAATATAGTTATATATAGTAATGTTTCGCCAACTGGCAATGAGATGGTATCAGTTCCCATTCTACAAAAGCCTTATTCCAAGAATTCGTGAATTTTAGAAGTAAGTAACAGTTGTCATAAATCTGAAATTGTGAAATTAGTTAATTGTTAAGGCATTATTTGAACAAAAAAAAAA